AAAATTTTTTTTTACTAAATAAACCTTTTTTCAACCCTAAGTAAAGTTGTAGAGAAGTGTCTTGGAAACAGAATGGTGATTAAAATGTTAAAATTGGCCTAGTAGATCATGAGATATAAGTATTTTTATCTTTGCAATTATTTATTTTTTCTTTATTTGAGCCTTTGAACATGTTCATGAACAGGTTCATAGGAACACTAGAGGAGGATGACTGTAATCGGTTTTATAATAGTCAAATATACAGTCTGATCAGATCAAGCTAATACATGTGACATTGATATAATATAATATAAATGATAGCGATTTAGTGTGACTTTTGTTTAATCACACTAAATCAATTAATTTTCATGTCTCTCATGTACGTACATATATACGTATATAAGTTATGGCGTACTCTTTGATAGTTAATGGATGAGATTAGAGAAGTTCTAATACTGTTCTTTTATTATGTTAGAAAAGGATTTATTATAAGAAAATTTTCTTTACTGTAATATAAATTATAAATTTCTATACTATATATATAGTATATATTGTTATTGTTATTACTATTCTAAATTTCTATTGTGTACGTAATTATCTTATATACATAGTATGTCTATTTTTTATAATCAGGATTAGGTATTCATTCATTCATTGTGTTAGAATAAGGATAGATTATGAAAAAAACTTAAAAATTTAGCAGATGCAGATAAATGTACATACATTACATACCCATTTGAATTTCTAAATAGAGGTCTTGACTGTTTTTGTTTTTGTTTTATTGCAGACCCTGAAGTTTCTATAGTGATAATTGTCATAATTATATGTAAATATATATCAAATGTAAAATAAAAAATCATATTGAAATGCATATAAAAATTACTTACTACATGAACTACTGGCAACGTAATTGCGCCTATATGACTTGTACCACCATAATTATAATTATAATTATGTATATATAATCCGCAATTTTGAAGGCCGCTATTTGTCAATCTATATAAATATGTACTAATTTTTTATCATATTCATTAGTGACAAATACAGGTTTACCAAAACTGAGATTATAGATTTAGTTGAAAAAAAGAGAGGGAAAAATTCAAGTTATTACAAAGGAAAGAAAAGGAAAAACTGAACCTGGTACAAAAAATGAAAGCTGAAAAGCTAGCTCTTGCAAAACTATTAATAGAAGAGAAAGAAATAGAAAAGTGTGAAATTATCAAAACAAAAAAGTCCAAGAAGCGTGAACTCATCGAAAAGTTGAAGAAAGAGCCAGGTTTTGACTTTTTCTGGTTTTTTTAAGTAAGTTTGCATAAAATTATTTTTTTTCTGTAAAACAATGAAAATTTTAACTTTTGATATTCTATTTCAACATTTAGCTCAAAAAGTATGGTCTGAATGATTAAATGTATAATACATGCACTGAAATTATCGAATATTCTAGGTAGCAGTATGCAATCTAGCAAGCATAACTTTACAAATGTTTGTTAGTGTATTTTAAAATCATAAATATATGATGTATAACCTAGGTTGGCCAATAGACCAAAATGTGGCTTAGCAAATGCCAATGGACTATGTCCATTGGCCTAATGGACAATATCCATTGACAATTTATTCAGAACCCATCATAGTCCATTGCCAACCCTGTGTATAACCTTTTTTATTAAAAGTTATAATAAATGCTGTTTTAAAAATAACTTTCAAAATCATTTAAAATACATGAATTTAAGATTTTAATTAACTACAGTATATAATTATTAAATATACATTATAATAACGATAAAAAAAAATATACAACATTATTTATAATTATGTATAATTTATGTAGTCATAAACCTTTACAAATGATCAAATGAATCATATAAAGCGTATACAGTACGTGTTAATGAGTTATACTTTTATATTATTAGGAAGGTGATTAGATCAAAACAAATAAGAGTAAAGTTGTATCCGAACCAATCATAGCAATTTCTTCAACTGGTCAAATATATTTGAAAACTTCTACTGGAAAAATCACAATTCAACAATATCTGGAAGTGATACTATTTATGCTCTTAAAGAAATGATTCAAGATAAAGAACCTGGTTTTCCTGATCAACGACGTCTCATCTATGCTGGCAAGCTTTTTTGGATGACAATTGTCTCATTGCAGATTACTGCATAAAAAAAGGGTCTACATTACATCTTTTTATAATTGGCTCAATACACATAAAAATGCCTAGCGGAAAAACCTTAACGTTAGAAGTATGTTATGACATTACTATTAGTACCCTTGGAAAATGATCCAGGATAAAGAAAGTATTCCTGTGCATAAGTTCTATTTGTCTTTTATCTTAAATCTCGACAAGTTAATCCAAATGAAGAAAATGAGGAATCTTTATTAAATTACAAAATCCATTTAAATTTTCGTTCTTCTTTAATCTCAATCTACGTAAAACCATTTAATGGAAAATTAATCACATTAAGTGTATTGTTACGGGGTGATTCGTATGTTCTATAATCTATACTATAAAAATATAGACTTTATGTGATAAGGCAACTCGCCAGAGGCGTGACGTTGTGATTTGATACATATAATATAAGAGAATTATTATCGGGTTAGTGAGCCTATGTGCCCCTTCCTCGCACATAAGTGTCGTAACCAACCTTATCTAAGTTACGTCCTTTATCTGTTATATAACATTAAAGGACTAATGAGACTTAAACATACTCACCTTATTGTATAGTGGCTTAATTTCTATCGGCCGAGATTTGCTTATCACCGAGATATATTATAATTTATCTAAGCCTTCGGCTCTAAATTATAAACTTGATTGACTATGATGTCAATCTAGCCCGTGACAGTATTCAAGAATGATACTGTTTCTGAACTTAAAAAATGATTCCTGACAAGGAAGGAATTCATTCTGATCAACAAATTCTTGTTTTTCGTGAAAGACTATTAGTAAATTATCGCACATTATAAGAATACAGTAACAGAACATTCTACACTACTTCTTGTACTTAAGGATAAAACACCTAGGGAAAGCAATGAATCTAAGTTCTTAGCTGATAAAATTTATGAAATTTATATAAAAATGCCAAATTATTTTAGATGTTTCTGAGAATAACACTATCAATGACATTAAAAAATGATTAAAGTATTGAGGAATTTTGGTAAATACTGTATGTACTATTTATTTCCCGCAACGGCGGGAATAAGAGGTAAATCCCGGTCATCTGGGGCCCGAGGGGCCCCTAGCAGGCCGAATATCTATCCCTGTAGCGGTGAAATAAGGGTATTATTCTTCGTTTTTATATGAGGTCATGACGGGCTTTACGACTCATGATCACTGCTTTGATCAATAAAAAAAATCGAGCTTCTAGCAATGTTTGTTATTTCCCCGGTAACGCTTGTTATTTCCCGAAAGTCCGGGGAAATAACAAGCATTGCTAGAAACTCGATTTTTTTACTGATTAAAGTAGTGATTATAAGTTGTAAACCCCGTCATGCGATCATATAGAAACGTGGAATAATGAATTATTCCCACCGCGTCAGAGAATAAATAATGTTTAATTATGGCCATTATTTTAAATAACGTTATTACGCGAAAATACGGTATATATTTTCTCCACGCAATCAATATTAAAATTAAATTTGACATATAACATATTCCAATCGGTATAATTCTAAATGACATAATATTAATTTAAAATCAACAGAAATTATTGTTGACGTATAACATTTACATATCAGATATTAACAATGTTATTTAATTATCGCTGTTTTCGAAATAGTCGAAAATGGCAAATAACTTTTTTTTTTGGCTCATACACTCGATACCTTAGCACGTTGATTGAAGATCGATGTCTGATTTTATAATCAACGTGTTAAGGTATCGAGTGCATGTGTACAAGTGTACGCTAAAAAATAAAAGTTATTTGTCATTTTCAACTATTTCGAAAATAGCGATAATTAATAGTGTAATAGCATAATATCATATTGAAAAGTAGAACCAGGTCAACTGGATTACACGATGCTTAAATTTTATATCGGGTAAAATCTCAAAATAAGAATATAAATTTCCAAAACTTCAATAAATTTATTGTTATATATTCGATAAAGTAAATTAATATAAACAAATTTTCAAAACTCTAATTTAAAACTAGCATTATGTTCTTGACCAGTTACTTGGTTTCTAGCGGTGGCGGTAATCTCCATCCGTCCAAACATTAATCTAAATTCTACTGGTCTTTCTTTTCCTAAATGTGTATCTGGCATATCGATTGTAAGTTCACCCAACTTTTCCAACCCTTCACAATAAGTTTCGTTTAAATTGTTCGAAATATATAAGGAAAATCGTAATTTTGTGGTATTTTCTAATGGCCGAAATATATTACTAAATGATTCATCAACACCAACTTGTCGACCTCTTTCTGCTAATCGATAAAATTTATAGATATAATGACCATCGACCTTTAGATATTCAGGATCTATTGCTTCATTGAATAAACCTTCTATTTCTATACCATAAGTATATTTTAGAACCCGAGTTTTTATTACATCCATTCTGAGTCCATATTGTAAAGCACCACGTACTATAGCAGCCTATAAGATATACGTTAATAATATCTTAAAAGAAAAAAAATAAATAATAAAAACAAAAATCAATCAATTTAATCATAAATTCTTACTTGAGGTTGTTTAGGTACTGAGATGTTTTTAATGTAATTGAATGTACTTTTGATGCGTGATTGAAGATATTTTGATTCACTAAATCCACCAACCAGGAACATTGCAGTACATGCACCTCCAACTATAAGTTGCCTTGAGATTAAGTTAATAATCTTTTTGATGACAGGATCAAACATCGCCTTAACATCTTCAAACGTTAATTCAATTATCCAATCATCTTCTTCTAAAATTTCTTTTTCTTTACCAGTTATGTATTGCTTCAACGCTGGACATACATCATCTATATCAAATTCGATTACTTTGAAATCTTCCTCATCACCAGTAAATGAGAATTTGACACGTCGAAAAAATTCATGAATCATGTATTGTAAATTACTATATCGTTGATTCTCTAATAAATCCATTGCAGATTCACCGACTCTAAATTTCATAAATTTGATAAATGCATTATCAATAAATGTACTGCCACAAAAATCACCGGTACGTTCAGTAATTTCGCCTAATTGGTTGCCTGGTAATAACTTTCTTGTTGTAAGATCTACTGTACCACCACCACAATCGACGACCAGAAAAGAAGTTCCTTCTTCTGCAAGGAAATATTCATTCAATACACTCAAGCAATATATAGCTGCTGCTTCGGCTAAAGTTGATTTGAAATTACAATTAAAATAAATCGAAATATCAATTGAAAGGGATAGTTTAAACCTTTACGTACGTTCAGTAGAGAATTGTAATTTTTCCGAGGTCGGATGGTTAACTTTAAATATATCAAAAGGGGTAGTAAATATCTTGCATTTAATATTCAAAAATAATAAAAATTCACATAATTATAGTTTCATTTACTTAATTTAGCATTATAAATGCACTCCCTCAATATCATTTTGGATCGTTCAGGGTATTCGGCAGGAATGGTGAAAACAATTAAAACATTTTCAAAGAAATCAACATTCGGCCATCGAGTATTGATGGTATCTTTTATTAACTATAAAATGAAATTTATTGTATCTATTGTATATTGTAAACACGTAAAATTAACGAACAATGCCAAAGTTTAACGCGTTACCTTTCCTATTTAAAGTAATGACATAATTTAAGGAGAATTAACTTATCAGTAATTAAGAATGGATATTTAACACTAAAGAAAAAAAATTTTTATCAACCAATCTCCTTAAGATAATCAGCAATAACTTTTTTATAGTCTAAATTTTCTGGTAATTTAGGCTTTTCTGAATCTGGAAGGTTTCCTAAAAACAGTTTGAAACGTTCCACAGGCCTATAATCGAAATATGTTTGACGTTTTCCAGAGCGCGGTGCCAATGCAGGTAACCCCCATGCTTTTACTTTTTTAAAATTGGCATCATATAGGATTACTGTATTTGTTTTAATCGGTCCTGAAACATCAGGCCATGTATCATTAGTAATCAGCTCCGGATTTTGTCTATGCGCGTATGCGAATCCCTATTATTTTAACAAATCATGAATTATTATAAATTTAAAAGATTGATCTCGCAAAATAAACGCGTAAAATGTGTGATAATAAATGCTATTAAACACACCGTATACGTTGTCCCAAAATCTTAAACAGTACGTATATCAATATATGTTTGATTTTTTGTTTTTTTTAAAAAAAAAGGATAGATTAAAGACTTTTATTTCGCGTCAAATTATAAAATATATATAGGTTCATTACCAATTGAGACAACAATGCGAATATCATTTTTCCAAGCCATAAGTCAAAATTTTGGAAACTGATAAATAAATGCTAATTCTTGTAATGATTTTCCCTCTTTTTAAAGTGCGTGTACGTTACACGAAAATCGGTATGTAGAATTTTATTAACATGGATCCTTGAAACTTTATTGGCTGTTTATATAGAATATCAAAACAGATAAAGTTTTACGCATTATCGTAGGGATCCAATACAAAATACTGTACCCAACAAAATAACCTACAAAAAACTCTGTATATTATACAGCAGCGGGTCAGTGTCGCAAGAAACAATCAGTGTTGTAAGTCATAACTTTTTTTTATATGACCTTGGTTATATAATCATATGACTTTTTTTGGTCATAACATTAATAAAAATTTATTTTACTATATTATTAAAATGTCATAAAGTTATATAAACCTTCGTTATGACCAAATGACCTATGACGGGTCATATAGGTCATTTAAGATCATCGGCAAACACTGGGTATAATAAACGGCTAATGAAGTGAAATTTTATTTTTCAAAATCACTTAAGGGTGTTCTAAACGCCTCTCAGTGGATCGAAGGTAAAATTATAATTATTTAGAAAATAACCATTTCAATGAACAAATCAGCGAAATATAATCCATCTTTTTTCTTCAAAAATTTACCATTGACAGGTTTGTCATTAGAAGACTGGAACCCCACTGGACGTCCAGATTCTTCTAGTGTTCCAGTGGTTCCAGTTAGAAATCCCACTGGAACGTATTCACTTTATTGGCTAATTATTGGCCAATCAAATTAATTAGTTGGTGACTAATTTTGTTTTCGAGCTTCCAAAGCTATTCAATGCAATATATTCAGTTTATTTTCTAACTCATCTTTTGATACTGCTTAAAGATCCTAAAATAATGGTTCTTCTTTATTCGTGTATCTCATTACGATAATATAATAAATATTTTTTTATATCAAAAGCGTTGTAAAAAAAATAGTAGATTAGTCATGGCGAAAAAATTCTGAGATCATGTGATCGACGATCCTTCCGGACTATCTACGTACCTTCCGATCTCGTGATATAGTACCCTAGCCGCAAAACATTCGTTTTTGATACTCCTGCACCTACTTTTTTGATACATCCGGATGTACCCTCAAATCCCTATACTTTTTTGATACATGCTCACATGACTCACGTGATATATGTAGTACATGATATCATATATACGTGTGTACGTACATATAAGTAAATTAATCAGTAACTGGGTAACAGTAAAAATAATTAATATATGAAACAATGAAACACTTGTGTTACATTTATATTTAAAACAAATAAATAGTAATTTTAGTAATTTGATCGATGCAACAAAAAGCAGACAAAAATCAAAGCAAATAATAAAACTTTACCTTTTAAATTGATCTTTTTTTTCATAAAAATGTTTGAAAACCAAATTATTTATAACGATGATAACTCGGTTTCAGTTCCTTTTGGACGAATAGCTGAGTGGTATTTACTACAACTTCCACTTTTAAAAAATACGTGTTTAAAGTCTCAAAGCCGTTTGAAAACTACAAAATTAATTCATGATGAATTAATTACGCTTAATCGTGTTGATGGTGCAGTTGACTTTACAGAATGGATGGCTTCTGGAAATCAAAAGTCAACAAACCGTATTGATGATACTTTAAAACTTACTGATAAAGGCCAAGAATACGTTAACCAAATTCAAACAGGTTTGAAGAAAGACAAACTATGTTGGTCGTGGATTATGTATTGTGCAGGTGATGGAAAAACTTGTCAGCATCAATGTGGTGGTATTGGAGAATGTGTATCTAGTTGTCCAAATTTTAATCTACCTAATAATTTAAAAAATGGAAATGATATGCACCGTTGTTCTGTTCGGGTTCATTCTTTTTCACGACTATCATATCTCAATTCAAATCACCAACTTCGTATTAAAATTGAAGGAACACATTATCCTCCTAATATGGTAAATGTTGGTATTCCACAAATTACAAGAATTAATTTGACATGCCAAGTTCGAGACCAGATTATTGTTAACCGTCGTGCAGATCATCAAACAACAAAAGCTATAAAAGGAAAATTGCTTTATTCATTAGTGAAGAAGCTTTAAATGAAGCGTTATTAAATAGTAGAGAGGTTTGTGATAATAACAAATTGGAAAGATTTATTATTCGTGAAGATAGGAGATTGAAAGATTATACAGGCCCTTGGACGGTTCTTCATTATTTGGTTGAAGAAATTCTAAAGCCTAAAGGTTATGTGTTATACTATCAGCAGCCAGATTTATCTAAACCAGAAAACTCTGTTGAACGTTACTATCAATTAACGGTATCTGATGAGTTTTGGTTACGAAATGGAAGAGATTTTGGACAACTTTGTTTCGGCGTCGATGAAAAATATGATATTAATATCGATCATGCTCCAGTTTTAACTATGGTTGTTGAAAACAAAGCAAAACATGGAACTCCATTAGCATTTGGTATTTTATTTTTTATTTTATTTTTTAATTTGTTTTTATTTTTTATTTATTTGTTTATTTACTTTAATAATTATTTTATTATCGATAATAGGATTAAGCAATAAGGAAAATAATTGGTCGATACGATTAGCAGTAAACGCGGTTAAGCAAAATACTGAATTATACATATGATTGACACCCCACTAATGCGTCGCAATTAAAGAATAAATTATTTCTTTTCGCAATGATTACATTGATTAAAAATTTTTTTTCTTTTTCGACGTTTTGCTCTTTTGGGTTTTAGCACTTTCAAGTTTTTAGTAATAATTTCGTATGAACGTTTAAAAATTTTTTATTATATCCACTTTTTTAAATCATATTGCTATACGAAAATCTGAAAACAAAATAAGTATTAATTTTATTTTTATTTTTTTGCTTTGTTTTGTTTTATTTTATTTTATTACTAATTATTTAGCAACTTAGCAGTGAGTGATTTTAGATATTGCTGATTAAAGTGATCCATTATGTTGATCATTTGTTACTAGGTAGTGTTGTCGCTTTTCAAATAAAGAAAATCAGAAAAGTTTGACAGAAGGGTTTTTAAATAGAATCTCAATAATTTTGTTTGTAATTTGGCTAAATTTTTCGAAAAAAAATTCATAACCACAAATTATTTCATTATTTGTTAAGTCGTTTTCCAATTTGGCCATAGTATTCTGTTGAATTTCTTTACAATTGGTAGAAAGTTTCTCTGTTGCTTTTTCATTTTGGGAAATATCAGCATTATTTGTCAATTCTGAATCATTGTTTTCATATTTAATACCAGATGTTTCACTAACATTTATTCTTAGCATTAATAATTATCAAACTAGCATTTATTGAAATATTGTCAGGGTTACTGTACGATTTTTGAAAGCTATTTTCCTTAAAGAACTTAGTACTGACTAATTATTTTTTACTTTCGGAAAAATAGCTTTTGAAAACTTGAGTACATTATTGTATTAGTATTTAAAAAAAAAAATTCATTAATTAGCAATTTGCAGTAGCATTCTATTTATTTGCAGCATTGTAACAGTATCAATAAAATAAATTTAAAATATTTCAAATGTTCATGTTAATTATTTTTTAAACAAAAGTAAAATTGCGGACAGAATATAATTAAGGAATTTTGAAACATATTTGGTATTTTTTAAAACTACAAGCTTGTAAACATAGATTTCAACAAAATTTTATTCTCTTAAGAATAAAGTACCAAACAAAAGACTTATAAAATTTCTTGTTTGTGTCAACTTATTTTCGTTAATGTTTAGATTGTTTAGATTATTTTGATTTTTTTTTTTTTTTTTACTGCAAGAATTTTAAAGTGTATAAACTTTCACTTGATAATTATAAATAGCATGGTAGACATGAATTTACATTCATTACCTATGCCAAGCTTTTACTAATAAACTTCTGTCATTTACGGTCCACAAAATTCGTACCAATTCCGACTATACATATTCAAATCTGGTTCTTGATCTATGTTACAAATACCCGCACTTATCCAATGCAAACCTGTTCTGTTCTAATTTAATTTTCTTATAGCAAATAACCATAATCAGTATTACATTCAATTTATTTCTTTTAATAAGTATGTTTTGAAAAAAAATACATATATGATTTAACATAATCATTAAAACTCTATTCACTTTAACAATTAATGAACTTTCAATCATATTTTGTATCAGTTAGATAAACCAAATAGATTAAGACCAGTAAAAAAATATAATTAAAACCAGTGACAAATTTTCCCTTACTTTGCATATGTGATCGTACTGGTCCTGCGCAGCATCACATGCTGTGCAGCTATCTTATTAGTAAAAATGTATAGGACATTTGTGATGTATAGTATGTAATTTATTATTATTATAAGAATATATGAGGTTAATTTTAAGGGCTTAGAAAATGATAATAAATTTAAAAATTTTAAATCGATTTTTTTTCTTATTTAATCTCTATTTTATATAATTTTTTTAAGAATTGGATATACTTATTGCAGAAACTTTGAATTTTTTAAAATATTATTATAATATTGTTATAATATAGTTAGTTATAATATTGTAATAATCTCTTTACTATATTTAAAAAACTTTTTATAGCATTTTTGCAACTTTTTATACTATTATAATGTTATTATAATATCATTAATATATTATATTTTTACTATATCAAGACTATATTAAAACTATATTAAAACTATATCATGACTATATTATTTTATCCTTTTCTCATAAGTTTCTTGTAACAATATTTTAAAAAATTCCAAGTTTCTGCAATGCTTATTTATTGTGAGCTGCAGAAGTATGATTTTGGAAGCACATGATGGGAGTCAATTGTTAGATTGTAGAATATGAAGATCAATTACTAAAATTGGGGTTTCTGGTAGTAAAAGTCATAGAAGAGATAAAAGGAAAGAACTTTAGTGATTTTATGGATTTATAGGACCTGTGGACAAAAGCTTGAGTTGGTTTGAACTATCAAAAATGCCATGTAACTAAGAATTGGTTGGTTCGATTTAGAATTATCATAAATTCTATTGAGAAAGGAGATTTAGTTTGTATTGGAATTACCAAGATTTTTATTGTGAGTTACAATAAAAAATTAAAGTCGCACACTTACTTGACACATAATATGTAGTTAAGATTGAGTTTATTTGCAACAAAATTATCGTGATTTTTATCTGTAAAAAAATTGTGTACAAAACTGGCTTGTTTTTAGTATAACTAAACTATAGTATGTGGTTGAGGTTGAGTTAGTTTGTATTAGAATTATTATAATTCTATTGTGAGTTGCTGTAAAAAATTCTTTTACAAACCTTACTATTCTGACAATACACAGAACCAGTATTTCGGCCTAAACCTGATTTTGCAGATCATTTGCAAATTAAATTGGGCGAAACTAGTTTCGGAGGGTTTCGGACTTATAGGGCAAAACTAAAATTCCTCTGGGCGAAATGGTTCGTTCTTTGGAGGAGGCTTAGGCCAAAACACTACACAGCACACGAAAGTGATTTTTTAAAAATTAATTCTTGATTCGTCATAACTCAATTTTCATATATTTTGATTATTAACTCATAAATTGATTACGATATTAGCATGTAAATGATCAAATTTTACTATATCTAGTAATAATAATAATAATAATAAATGACTAATTTAGAATGTTGCAATGTCGTATATACGTAATCAGCAACGCTAAGTATTTTTAATAAGTAACTTTAATCCAGAATGTCATATGTACGTACATAAATAGATTCTGATCATGTTTTTTTTGGATATGACCAATCCAAAACAGTAAAGTGTATAGACCCAAAATTTATCACGTTTTCTGGATACAACCAATTAAACCGTTAAAATGCACAGACCAAAATTAAATTATATAGATTAAAAACGTTAAAGTGTATAGACCTGATTAAATTATATAGATATGAGTATAGTAATAGGTTATCAAATCAAATAAAGTTTTATTATATAATATTCTTATATATAATTTCATAAAATAAAAATTTTATATTTCGTGGCTAAGCCACGGGTCAAATATTAATAGGTAAATGGTTATAATATAAATATAGGCTATTATATATACCCCACTATAAAAATTATCAAGCAATTTAAAAAAACAATGAGGTGTAAATAATAAATAAACATAATTAAATTTTAAAAAAATTGTTTTAATAAACAATAAATAATCATTAGAAAATTTAAAAAAAAATTGCTTTAGTAAACAATAAATAATCATTATAAAATTCAAAAATATTAATATAAAGAAAAATACAATTATTTCCAAAATTTTTAGGAATATATTAATCATTGGATTATAATTATCGAATGCTAATACTTCATATTCTTCAGCAATTAATTCGCTTGAATTTGATATTCTACATTCATAAGCTCCCCGGTAACTAATCCAATAATTTGAGTCTTTCATGCACAAATCTGATACTCCAAAAGAAGGCACAAATTCTTCAGCAGTTAATTCGTTTGAATTGGATAATCTACATTTATAAGCTCCTAGGTAACCAAACCAACAATTTGAATCTTTTATGCACCCAAAAGAAGGTCCACATAACTCATCAATCCAAATTGTCTTATCTATTCTTTCAGTTTTTATTCTACACAATACTGGATTTGATTAGAGGGTGTAGGTATCAAAGAAGAAGTTTTGATTCGAATTGGAGAGTCAATATCCATAGTATTATTACTAGGTGGAGAGTTTGAAGAGGTAAAGAATAGTTGTTGTAGATTGATTGCAGAGGGTAATGTGGGTAGAGATTGGCTTAATGTGTTTTGGTTAGAAGTACTTTGTGAAGTAGTAAATTTAATAGCACTAGAGACAAGAGAAGAGATAGAAGGAAAGGATAGTTGGGTTTCATAAGTAGATAGAATAGGGGTTTGAGAAAGAGTAGAGTAGATAGGGGTATTAGGAAGGATTGAAGAAGTATGAGGAGAATTGATAGTTAAGGGGACTTGTTGAGAAGTTTGGTGGTGAGGTTGAATGATAGGAGAGGAATTGGAAGATTGAGATACTTGTTGGTTTGAGGGTGTTTGGTTGAAGAATGAGGATGTAAGTTTTTGTTTAGGTTGTAAAATTGTATTAGAAGTTGTTTGGTAGGAGGTTAGTGTAAGTGGTTGGAGGTTGTTGTTTGAGGGTAAGTATAATTTGTAATAAATATTATTTATGAAATAGATTAAATTGTTATAAAAGTAGTGTTAGTTTTCTTGTAGGTCAAAGTTGCAGTTAATAAGTTGCTGGCATTTGATACATAGGTGAGAGCAAGATTCTTGTTGTGTTTTGGAAGAAGAAGAAGGAACAAATTCAGTAGTTTGTTAGAGTTTTTTAGACATATTAGAGTTAACTTCGGTTAGGTTTTTATCATTTAGATTGTAAGTTGCATTATTTGCTGAAATAAATTGTATATGATATTTATTGCAGAGACAGAAAACTTTGGCAGTGGTATTTGGTACTTTAAAGAAGTGTGTAGCTTTCTCGTTTTTACATAGGTGTGTGAAACATTGAGCTGGTTTAAGATTAGGTGGAATAGGTTTACCAGTAAGAGGTTTTTCATCATATACCCAGATGCTGAAGCGATTAGGGTATTGACTAAAAAAAGCATCTAAATCAACTGTATCAGGTAAGGTGTCACTAAGAGTAGGCATCGTTAAGTGATAATATTAGTTAATTCGAAGAGAGCTTGTGATTAGCTTCACAGTAATACAATTTTTGCTTCATGTAATGTTATGCTATAGAACCTTCTAGATACTGCGGCTTGTGTAACCGTGGCTAGTGTGGCACATATTGTGTTGCGTAACTGTAATTTAATAGGTGCAAACTATAATATTTGTATTAGTTAAATATTTCCTCTTTTGTAAGTATTAAATTTTAATAAAAAATTAGAATGAAATTGGTGTAATTTGTAGAGAACCACTAATTTTGAGTAGTTAAAAATGTGGGTAATATGGTCTAAAAATAGTTAGCATTACACAAAAAATATCTATAGAGTTTTTTGTAAAAAGGAACCTTAAAGAAAAAAAAGAGAAAAACCTAGGGGAGTTTAAAAGGTTTTTCAAGTGTATTTCTGTCAGTTTCATGTTTATAAGCTTGAAATTTAGCTTGTTATGACGGGAATGATGAGCTCTTTAAGTTTTTCTAAGTTCGAAAAGTGTATTTAGACAGCCATTTTAGAGTTATTAAACGAAATATAAAAAAAAGGCCAAATGACCATTTCTAGATGGTTTTAAAAGTTTTTTGTTTAATATTCAAGTATTATATGTATTTTTTAGTTAAGAATAAGTTTATTTAGTAGCAAAACTAAGGTTAACTTAGTAGAAAATAAAGTTATAAGATATTTTTTAAAATAATTAAGCTAGAAAAATTTGTGTATAAGTGATAGATGAAAAGAGTTTTTTTTATATTTTTAACTTAGTTATTTTCTACAATATATATAAAATATTAATTAATATAAAAATTTACCTTGATAAATATACATTCAAATCAGCTAACTGATAAAGTATATTTGTATATGGACATCCATTGTGTATCCACAAATTTCTTTAAGCTGCTACTAGCAATTTTTAACTTATTTATTGCTTGATACAAATATGAACTTGACTGATGAGATTTTGTAAAAAACTTAATAATTTTGTTACATTTTTTTATAATACAAGAGGCGAATCTATGTTCTAAAAAATATACATACAGTATTATTAATATGCTACAATAAGTTAAATATATATATGTATTATAATACATATAAAAAATATCTTTTGATATAAGATTGATACAATGCACAATACAATTCAAATTTAGGATCTTTGGATATTTTTGATGAATTATTTGTTGAGCTAGCTTTATGTTGCTAGCATTGTCTATCACAATGGTCACAAATTTATCACACCTAATTTCAATCAAAATTGCATCAATTTTATCCACAAAAAATATAGCTATATATAAATGTTCTGAAAAATCATGTAATGAATATAAAAATCTATTGTGCATAGGTGTTAAAATTATAAAATTATATATAGAGTTTTCATTGGGTAATGCTTATCCATCTAGAGCTTTAAATATATATATAATTTAGTGAAAATAATAAAACATAAATTCAATAAATTAATAATTATATAGTACATACCAATAGTTAGATTCTCTAATTCATTAAAAATAGCTCATGCTTAATTATAACTCTAGAATATTCCTGATTTAATAGTCAGCCTGCTAAGACTTCTCTTGAAGGTGATTGATAGTTTGGATACAAATTTTGGAGAAGATCAATAAAAAATAGGTTTTCAATTGCAGAAAATAAAATACCACAGACAGTAAATGCTTTTAATCATGAACAATTTATAAAATAAATTCATTCTTCAGATAAATCTTTTTTTGCAGTTTGTGGAAAGTATCTTTTAAGACTAGATTGATTATTTAACTTTTTTTTAAATTGAAATTTTCTGAATATAATTCTTCAACGTTGTTGTATAAGACTATACGATATATGAATAATTGCCAAACCTCATTATCTACATTAGGGCAAGATGAGCTTCGAGTTTTTGTAGTTCGCCTCTTACTTATTTAGCTAGACAATAATTACATTTAGCAGAAAAATATTCTTTTGATATGGTTTTTTCTTAATGAAAAAAATTTCAAACTGCCGATAAAATTCGTCTCCCAGAGTTGGTTTTATTTGATACATTTGAATTATAAGTATATTCCAAAGATGAAGAACTTGATGATGTTTCTTCTCTTTTGGGTAAAGAGGTTTCAGATATTTTGGATTTTCCTTTATCAACTTGTAATGCACTGTTTATTTTGTTTTTTTTTGATAAAGAAAAAAAAACAAGAACGCGTATAAAAGATATTTAAGCAATTTTTTTGTATTATCTGATCAGGAACAATAACTATCTGGAAACTGTATGATGTGTAATAGTAAAATATAAGTTAGACAAAATCTATGCAGTATCAAGGTATTCAATTGTTTTTTCAAAATTTATTTTTCAATTCTTTTACTTACTTAAATATTTCAAAAAAACATAACTAAAAAATAAATTATGAAATAGAAATTAGTTTGATTAATGAATATATCAAATTTTAACTAACAACTAATAAGTAGGTGTGGCAACTTAGTACAGTGGTCTAGTTGTCACTCTCTCCAAGTGGCAGGTCTAGAGTTCGAATTCCATGGATGAAGATATTTGAAAAATAGGCTTGTGTTTGGTTGACAGCTATGCTTATCGGTTGGATCTAGAACTAAATCTGTAACTTTAGTCACACCATCTAGAAATAGTAGCTTTGGCACAATAAATCTGAGGAACTGGCATAACTGAAAACCCATTTGGGAAGTTCTGAATTTGGAGGTAACAGTGATTTTAATGGTACTACAGGAAGGCTGAATTAGAACCGGGCCCAAGATTGGAGAACCGAGTGATCAGGTCCTTAAGTGGGGAGACATGCCAATCAAACTGCCAATTTGGAGAACTTGGAACTTGTGGCAGGTATACCAGTTACACCAACCAGGTCACCGACATAAGGAGAGTTGGTAGCGAGGGCCCTACCCTAGCGGACTGTAAGATTGGAAGTCCCGGGCCTAGCGGCACCAACAAAAACATGGCTGGGTACTCTGGAGTACTAGGTTCTGCGAGTTGAAGAAAAAGGACACATGTTACAGAAGTGTGTACCAAGATGAGACGGGCTAAAGGCACCTAGAGCCAGGCTTAAATCAAACCTTACGAGTTGCTGGTTGGAAGTAAAGGATAGACTGATAAAAAATCCGGGTGAACCATATAAGGGCAGGAGTATATAATAGATGACTAATCAGGAAGGTATGGCTTAAGATATGAATTAGGTTATGGCAGCACCCCAAAAGCTGGCTTGAGATATGAACTCGATGATAGTAGCACAACAGGTACTGTTAGAAAGAAATTACTGAATATGCAGGTAGGACCCCAGACATCTCTTATATAGGTCATACTTGCACTTTAGCAAAAAGTCAAAAATTTGGCCTAAAGTCTGATTTTTAGTTTTAGCAAATCAATAATAATTTTAATAATAGAGCATAATTTAGTATTTTGTTATGTCAAAATTACTGCTTTAACTCTCTATAACTCCTCTTTTTATTTTTTTTATTTTTTTTCTAAAACATTCTGGCAAAAACCACTTAGACGTTTTCCATGTAACCTTAAATTTGTATCACCAACATTTTCAAATACCTCAGTATTAGTGGTTCTTTTTATTTACACTAATTTTTAAGTTTTATATACAAATCAACTATTTATATCTCTGTATTCTGTCTATTCTTAATTTAGCAACATCATCTAAGTTTTACGGGGCATACTCAGGTTATAAGTGATGTCTGTATAATACGTGACCTGCACGTGATTTGTGTAACCTATATTGACTTTTTGTGATCTATATTACACAAAACAAATTTTATATCATTTCGAAGCTCTCTTCATTCTCTACTACTTTGGTTGTTCTACAACTTCTAATTTATCCTTATCTGTTTATCTACTTTAAAAATCAACTTACATGCCTACTCTCAGTACTAAACAACCTGATAATACCAATCTTGACACCTTTTTATCCCAATTTCCTAACTGTTTTGGTATCTGGATCTATGAAGATAAACCTAATACCACTAGATCTACTACCAAAAGTGTCATTCCTACTAAGTGCTTTACTCAGCTACATAGTATGGGTAAAATTAGGGAAGGGCCATTTATCAGCTGATATTTTGCTACTAAGTGGCTACCCCCCTCCCTACCTGATCACAAATACTGCAATTTGATTGGTTAAAATTTTTTAAAAATTTAAAAACTTTTTAAACTTTAATATTAAATAAAATTAAACCAATGATCCGTTTTGGATGATTTTACTACCAAAATGTTCGTATTAATAAGACGATTCCAACAAGCCTAAAATCATCAAAATCCAATCACTGGATCCCAAGATCATTATAAATTTGTATTTCTTTAATTATATTAGTTTAGTATATATTAAAAATTATTATTAAAGATCTTATAAACTTTAACGTTGAATAACTTGTGAACCAGTGATCTGTTTTAGATGATTTTACTACCAAAATGTTCGTCTCAGTGAGATAATTCTAATGAATCTAAAATCGTTAAATTCCGAACACAGGATCTCAACATCGTTATAGATTTGTGTTATTTTAAAATAAAATATATTAAATCAATTAAAAATAACACAAATCTATAACGATCTTGGGATCCCATGATCAGAATTTGACGATTTTAGATTCGTAAGAATCGTCTTACTGAGACGAGCATTTTGGTAGTAAAATCATCTAAAACAGATTACTAGTTCACAAGTTATTCAATGTTAAAGTTTATAAAATCTTTAATAATAATTTTTAATATATACAAAACTAATATAATTAAAGCAATATGGTGCAGGATATCTAGTCACATCATAGCGCTGAATTTCAAAATGTATATATAAATATATATAGTAGTGCTGAAATTTTAATAATTAGCACTGAATTTTAATATTTAGTGCTGAATTTTTTAAATTTATATAATATTTAATAGTGCTGAAATTTTTAAGAGAGATTGAAAAAAAAAAAAATTAGATATTAATTAATCTATTCAAAAGTATTTTACAATATAAGCGCTGAATTTTTTATATTTACTAATAAAATAAAGTGCTGAATTTTTTAAAATATTAATAAATTAAAGAAATTTTAAATCAAAATAACTTTTTAATAAAAGAGATTTTTTAAAAAAACTCTCTATAGCAATATTCTTTGGGTCTTAAATAATATTATTATAGAAAGTTTTTTTTTAATTGCTTATTTTTTAAAAAAGTTATTAAACTTTTATTGCAAGCAATTATTTTGTAATATGACTAGATGTTCTGCACCATACAAATTTATAACAATCTTGGGATCCAGTGATTGGATTTTGATAATTTTAGGCTTGTTGGAATCGTCTCATTGAGACGAACATTTTAGTAGTAAAATCATTCAAAACAGATCATTAGTTCAAATTTTATTTAATATTAAAGTTTAAAAAGTTTTTAAATTTTTAAAAAATTTTAAAAAATTTTAGCTAATCAAAAATTATCTACTATTAGGACCTGATAATTTTCAGACCCCCCACCTTAAAAAATCAGGTGATAAATGACGCTCCTCTTGCTCATTTTTTCCAAGCTCCTCAGACCGCTGCTACCATAATCTGTTTTTTCAAAAAATATCATACCAAATTTACCTCTGTCAATCAACCTATTTCCTCTAAATCACCCAATACTCCTATTTGTCCTTCTGTTAATTAACCCCAAAGTTAACACTCACCTTGTAACCTAATTTAATGTCAACACTTATGTACTATTTGTCAACAACCTATTTTATGCACCTTCACACCAGTTCTTAAACTTTATTCACTTGACAAGAATACTCTATTTTCCAATAACTAACTATTCTACAAAGCATGTTTACGCTTCGAATCACCTGTCTCTTTACCTACTCCAACTACTCTTACTTCTACTGTTCATTCTAAACCACTTACCTCCTTTAATACCTCGGTATCCCAATACCAACTACCTACTAAAACTATCCCTATCATTTCTCAACTCCTTACAACTCACACTGACCAACTCTCACAAGCCCCAATTGTCCAAACTTCAATTACTCAACCAAACCAATCAAATTCTTCCCAATTTCCTATCTCTCGTCCTCGATCCCTTTCACTTCTCTATCAATCTGACCCATCTCCTATATCTGGTTTTCTTAGCCTTTTTTTACTCTCTTCTGTATCTGAATATATCTATAGTTCTCCTATCCAAAACTCTTTACGCCCCTTAACACCTATTAATGACGCTTCCAAACTTGATTCTATTTCTTATGATACTTCTACTAACTCTCATACTCTGACTACTAACCAAACCCTTCTTCCTTAAATAATTCAGATTTCCTTGATGATGAAGCTTCTAACTGTGTTGCAAAAATGATGGATGTCGATACACCTATTAGCCAATCTACCTCCAAC